GTTGCCCGCAGTTGGCACTTGCTGGCGGTGTTCAGGAATTCACAAGCCTTTCCATTTTCATTGCTTTCTAAATTGTCCTGGTCGCCGAGATGATTTTACCTCTGTCATTTGACGAACAGCACACAGTTGTCAGCCTCAGGATGTCTACAATGATTTAACTCCTGAGAATCATTTGAGGTAAAATAAAACTTTCTTATGTTGCATAATTCATATTGAAGGACCAGGTGTAATTCTGCTATTAACAGTTTAAAAGGAAATAATATTTTATGGTAAGCTACCAATGAAGAACAGATTCAGGGTTGGTAACTATAATGACTTGACTTTATGATGGTAACGCTCACAAGTTGGGTCAGGACACCTGACCATGGGAGGACCATCTCTTGGGGATTCCTCAGCTTTCAAAGTGACCGAGCATGTTTTCAGAAACATATTAATTGTTCTCAGACACCGTTCAGATATCTCAGCATTTAAGTTTATTATGAATCATTTTGTCTTCCCTCTTTAATTTGCTCATACTTATAAATCCTTGGAATGTTACTGAGAGTACAGATAATAAAATATTGTGAAAGACAGCTAATATGCAGCCTGATATGTATTCTGTGACTCACGCTGGCCAAAGTAAACCTCTGTGCAAACTAGCTTTGAGTTCTATGAAAGTAATTGGAAATCTTTCAGTTATTATGGAAATGGCTCCAGTTTCTGCTCCAGCTGTTCATGTGAGAAAAACAGCTGCTTTCAGCTAACTCATTTTAGGATGTTATGTTAAGAATCTGTTAAAAAATACTCATTGGGGGGGGGGGGGGGGGAAATATTTCTAGACCAAGGGGGGCCAGAACATACAAATCAAGGGACAGCTGATAGAAACATTGCTCTCTTGTACAAATAGTTGCAGACTTCATATGTGCGGTACCATATAAATTGATTTACAGGTCTGCCTCAGTAGTGGTCAATGTAATTGATTTTGATCAGTGTTCAGCCTAGTCGTGGTTTTGCTTTGCCTCGTGAATCAGGTGCATTCTGAGTCTCTGTGACCACAGCTTTCCATCCTCCTGCATATATTGTTCCTTTTCCTTGTTTGCCTTGCACCCCACTCTCTGCTGCTTCTTGAATCTCTAGGTCCTTCTTCTCTCAGGCTAATTGCTTCAGTTCTAATGTCAACTGTCCTCTGAAGTCTGTGTTTTTCTTTGGTTAACTCTGAAATTCCTGTATTTTTCTATAACATGGTGTTTCTTGAGCCGAAACATCTTTTTTGCTCCTCTGGAGTACGTGCAGGTTTCGGTTTACGTGGCAGCTGGCATGCGAGGCACTGTAGTTACCGGTTTTAGTGATCACAGAGACAATTTAGCTACTGTTTGCAGTTAAAGATCATTAGCAGCTTTCTGGCTGTATTTGCAGCTAAAAATTGCAGTTGCTTCCCACTTCTCTGTTTTGGGCCAGCTCAGCTTCTTTTGACCAATGCTGTTGGGAACTCTGAGAAACCCTGCTCTGACCTAAACTATATCAGGGCTACATGGAGGGGAGATAACTGTACCATCTGATGTAATACTTGTCTCCTTCTTCTGTCTGTCTCCCAATCTCTTTTGTCCCAGGAAAGAATATAGTTGCCACAAAGATGGCGCATACTGCTAAGGATATTAAGTGACTGACATTTTAGATAGCTAGGTACTTAACACACCGTTCATTTGCTTTCACAATCTTGATGCATTTCTGCAATAAAGCAATAGAAAATTACCGTCTGAAGCTGTGGGAACTATCTTAATTAATGTACAAAGAATACATTTTTATTTCTAGACAGATCTTAACTGGGAATGGGTGAAAGGAAGCACCACTGGCTTGTGTACTGTACTTCTTCCACCTGGTGCAATAGCAGACTGTTGCTGTTCCCGCAGCAACCGGTTTGTTTACCTTCCATGCTGTTCTGAGCCACCTCCTGTAATATTTAGTTGCACATTTAAAAAGCAACTATGTGCTGCTGCTGTGGAGGTTGAGGCTGGAAAACAGTTGGGAGCTGGAAGATAGTGAAGGGGACCTGAGGATGTGGCACTTGGCCAGGCCAGGAGCGGTGTCAGCCGAGAGGTGTGTGAGCAAGAAGGGGGAATTGTCCTCCTGTGCTGGAGGATGGGCAAAGCTGGGTGTTGCTGAGGAGCAGCTGTGTGCATTTGCTGTGAGGAGTTGTCTCAGGAACGCTGGATGAGCATAGTGCAAAATTGATAATCAAACTGCTGTGACTTTGCGTGTATTTTTAAACCAGAGTCCCCAGTATGCTATGTTATTTTTTCTGCTTTAGACCTTCCTAGGCTTTTCCATTTCCTCATTTACCTGCTGTATTTCCTCGTTCAGCTTTTCAGGTTCTGTTTTCTGGTTTTGGTTTGGTTTGGGGTTTTTTTTGGTGTTTTTTTTTCTTTTCCCTAATGACCATTACATTTCTTTTTTACAATCTAGAGTTCATCCACCTCTCCAGCCATATTCTTAAAAGCTGTTTACTTCTCCAACCTGTGGCAGACTATTTATCTGTTATATTTGTTCCCTTTTTCTCAGTTTTCTGTGATTGTCCATTTAGTAATTCTGTCCTTCCTCACTGGTATCCTTTCCTTCTGTCTCCTATTGCAGACAGCCCATCTTTTCCTCTTTCTCTCAGTTCCACTTTCAAGCTTCATACTCTCTTTCCCCCTAGCTTCCATTCCCAAATGCTTCTGTTTCTTCAGTCTCGCACTCCAAACTCTCTCCCCCACACTGTAGCAAAGTCTTGGAGAGCCTTGACCAGAGCAATGTCTTTTCATACCTGTGTCATTTTGCAGATAAAAGGGGCAAGAATTTTTTCTCACCCTAATGGACCTGTCTTTTTCCCTTCTTGCTTCTGCAGACAAATATAATGCTATTCCTGTTTTCAGGTTCTACATTGCGTTACATCCAGAAACTTTCCACAAAACAATGGCCAGACTGTTGCAACCTCCACCTAAGTTTCATCCCTCAGAATGGGACATTGCAAACAAGATGCAGTGTGCCAGTACAGAGTCTCAGCAATCCAGGTCAGAGTGCATGATAGCTGAGAGTCAGAGGCTGCTGGATGAAATAGAAAAGAAAACTCGGAAAACCCAAAGTGATGTCAACAAGAAAATAGGTAATCCAATGTGTTCTGCAGGTGTCAAGATGTATTATTTGAGCTATATGTTTAAGATGGACTTAGAAAATTCGTTGATAGTGAATACGAATATATGTCAATGCCATGCTCTCTGATCTCATGGACAAAAAAAAAAAATTAAAAAATATTTTGAGGCAGATTGTTTGTTTTGTAACAAACGAATTACTTCTCCAAAACACACAGAAAGCTATTCCAACCAAACCTCCTGACACGGAGTTGCAAAACTGTCTCCACACATCAGCCTACAGCACTACATGCACTCCACTGTGGAGTAAGTCTGTTTTTAGCCAGGCCTAAGATCTGACTCACAGTGCTCTGGCATATAAAATGGGCTTGTATTAATACCTGTCTGCAATTTTCATCTGCAGAACAGAGACGGGAAGAAATAAAATTCTGGAAACAAGAATTGGATAACAAACTTGAACAAATTGTTCATGAGACAGAGGTACTGTTGACTTTCAAGACTAGGTTGGAGAAATCTTTGGAGAGCTGCAGAGAGCCACTTGACATAGCCCAAAAGTGTCTCCTGAACAGGTGAGATGATTAACAAGAAAAGCATTCAAGGAGAACAAAGAACATCTAGGAGATGAACCTTTAACAAATAATAAAAAAGGCTGCAAACTTAGGGCCTGCCTCTCTTTGCAGTGCTGTCACAGTCTCATTTAGGTGTTACAACAAGGGGGAACTAAGGCCATAAAGGAAAAACTTCCCGTGTGGCAAGGAAAAGCCTTCGATTTTGAAAGCTGGGCTTCATCATCTTCTGTTAGTTGCAGACAGTTGAACATTGTGGCTGATGGCTTTTCCTCTTTTTGTTCAGGCAGAGGCGAACTGGGATTGACTTGGTGCATGATGAAGTCGAACAGGAACTGGTGAAGGAAGCTGAAGTCCTCCAGGGGGTTATTGCTTTGCTTGAACGTACATTGGAGAAAACCAATGAGCAAATCAGGTGCAGAGGCAAAGAGCATAACTGAACACTGATTAGCTGAAAAGTAGGACAGACATAATCCTGAGAAGTTGTAGGGTGAGGCTGAACACAGGTCCAAAGTTACCTTCAATGCTAAACAATTACAGGAGGTCAGTCCTAATTCATACTGTTTGATCAGTAATGGTGAGAAGTTCTGTTTGTTAGAACTTGAAGTACTTGGCCTGTGACCTCTGGTCTTCTCATGATCTAGTCCTGTACATTTAATTCCAATGGCAATTGTACTATAAATTTATGTGGAGGCAGCTTCATGCTCTATCTTTTGGGACTCTGCAACTAACAGTTCATACATGAAGAATTCCATGTCAGCATTTGTATTATCTAGTGCACGTATGCATGCACGTTAGGGACACCTGTAAGTGCCTACACTTTGGCTTAGAGTCTGGTTGTTTCTCCTCCTAGACTAAACCGTTCAGCAAAATACAACTTGGAAGTGGATCTGAAGGACAAGTTCACAGCTTTGATGATTGACGATTACTGTGCTAGCTTGATAAACAACACTCCTGATATCAAATACGCTGGTAATGCAGTGAAGATAGAAGGAAAGTAAGTGGTTATTTAGTTCAGTGAACGTGTGAGAATTATACAGCTAGTATGAGCTGTTCCAGTAATAGTGAGTTTAAAGTAATTTTGTGTAAAACAGAATGTATATGTCCATCATGTTTTTATAATTCTGTCCATCACTTTAGTATCTGTAATATATCTGTGAAATAAACCACAATAATCATCTTCCCAGTGAATGGCAGTTTACTAAAAACTTTTGAGCCTCACAGGTAGTTAAGGAAAAATTTCACACATTGCTTGAACCCAGAACAGATGTACTAATCTAACTTCCTCTCCTCTCCCAGGGTGTCCTGGTGGGGAGAACGCTGGACTGGGACACAGGAGGTTTGGAGTCAGTTTCTGACTCAGTCATTAACCTGTCAAATGTGCCCCTTCTGTGTGGGTTAGTGTGAAAGGTTAAGATGGAGAAATAGCTACCACGGAAAAATGGGCTGAGAAGAGGAAACATACTGAGAAGGCCATGTGTGTGTGAGACAGTCTCCCAAGGACACTACTGGCTCTGTAAGAACTGACAAACTTGGTCTGGTTGGGAGTTGGCTTCCCAGCTGTTGCTCCAACCTGTGCTTTAAGTGACTGTCTTAGAGGCGGGGTACTGTGTGAGAGAACAGGTGAATGTTTTGTGTGAATGGTTACCTGCTATTAATAGTAACAGACTAATACATTAGTAATAACAGCTTAATTAATGAAAGGTGTTCTAAGAAATATTGGTTATTATCTGTGTTTCCCCCACAACCGCTTAATCCTTTATCGGGGAAAGGAAAGTCATAACAAAGTAGCTCTGTGACTTCACCAAATTCGTTTCCATCCTACCTTTGTCTACTTCGTTGTGAAATGTTTGCAACAGAGAGGGTCTTTATTTTTTATCTGCAGAATTCCCAGCACAAGTGACACTCACTGGGACATGCATTTAATAGTACTGCTTTGCTCTCAGTTCCGTGGAGTAATTAGAGATTTACAAAGTCACAGAGGACCTGATGCTGCCAGCTGATGACCTTTTATTCTCTTTCAGTTTTGTTAGCCCTGAAGACTGGATGGATTTCTCAAACATAAATGTTGAAAAGGCTGACAAGCAGAGAAACAATTCTTTGGCACTGAGGGCGCTGATTGATGGCATTCTCTCACAGACAGCGAATGATATGCGCAAGCAACGTGAGGTGGTAAATGTCGCGTTTAGAAATAGGGTGAAGGAAGTCAAGGATGCCAAGCACAAGCTAGAGACACTCCTTGCAATGGTAAGTGGTAGGGGACAGTCAGTGAAAAAGTGGAAACAGTGGGCTTGGGTTATCTACCAGTTTTCTCAATCTGGGGGCTTGAGCTACTTTTAAGAATTTTACATTTGCAGTATTGGCAATTGGGGCTGTATTTCCCACCCTCCCACACCCCCCCATAAAAATAATCTTAGATTTTATTTTCTCAGCTCTGTGTGCACCACTGGAGAGGTGAATTTCTGGAATCACTCAGTATAAGTGTTGCTGTAGATGTCAGTAAAGTCAGGATTTCCCTTGTGATTTTTAGTTACACGGGGCTGCTATAGAATTTTCATGATTGTGATATAAGAGCCTAATAACTTACAAGATCAGGCTCAATGTACTCAAAAATCGATACATGAAAACTGAGTGTTAATGTTAAAAATTAATGGCTGAGCGTAAATCTCCAGTTTCATTCAGAACAGTGTCACCTGTTTTCCAATGAAGGAATCATAATCCTGGTTGACCTTTGTAAAATATCCTTTGGTGAAATAACATCTTAACATAATGAGTGTTACTATGATTGTTATTACTATAATTATTAAAGAAGATGTTGATGATTTCACCCATTGTAAGAGACAGTGTGCAGCACTTCCTTCTGTTGAATTTGTTAAGGTGATGGATGAGACTGCCTCACAGGAGAAGAACATTGCAGCCTTAAAGAAAGCAATTGCTGATAAAGAAGGACCTGTTAAAGTGGCTCAAACCCGCTTGGAAGTGAGAAACCGTCGCCCCAATGTGGAATTATTGTGTTATGACACAGTACAATATAGGCTGATTAATGAAGTTCAGGAGATTACAAAAGATATTCAAAGGCAAGTGGAAATGATGAAAGAGGAGAAAAATCTGGGGTATAAAGTACTGGGTTAATTTAATGAGTCAAAGTAGCATTGGGTCCCAGCTGTTGACCCTGAAGGGTTGGGAATTACTTTTCCCTTAAGGGTGGGACACTTTAAGGGAAGCTGCATGGATAATATTCACTCTCTGTGAATCCCTTTCCATCTTTTTTTTTTTTTTCTCAGAATTCTTATCCCATACCAAAAAAAACCCCCAAACTATCCAGGTGTTTTCAACTAACGCCTGCCTGTATTTTCCTTGTTAGATTAAAGGACACACTGGCACAAGCAGAGACGGAGCTGAAAGGTCTGAGCCGCCGACAGCTTTCCTTGGAGGCAGAGATCCAGGTCAAGGAGAATACATTGTACATTGATGAAGTGCTCTGCATGCAAATGAGAGAGTCTGCTTACATTAACAACTTCTGAAGCCATCACCGTGGGAGATCGTGTGTGCTCCAAAGAGACAGCTGCTGCTGAAATTTTATTGACAAACCTCCAGATTTATTGGTTTGGCTCAATGCTGTCCTAGTTCTAGTTGTGCAAGGTAATTAAAACAGACCTAGTACTTAACAGCTATCTGTTTCACAGCTGTCTATGCTCTAGAACTGGTGAGATGTCCCACTTGGCAACAAAAATCCAGAATAAGAAGAAATGTCCCTTCTTCCATGTTATTTATCTAATGTGCAACCAATTATATCTTTTGCCATTGAAAGGTCTAGAAGCTGTGGAAGCTAGAGCAGGAGTCTCCTCATAAGTCACTTGTTGGAAGGCTGGGCAAGTGGGAGGGATGACTCTCAGGACTAGCCATGGTATATTTTGTTCTTAACATCCATTGTTAAGAACTAGGCACAGGGTGTATGTCAAACTTAACAGGAGGTAGGGACTGGTGATACACTGGATAGTGCATCTGATGGCATCCGAGTCAAGCTCAAGCCAAGGCTGACTTTGGGCTAATCACTTCGTCACCCCCATGTCTGTTTCCCTGTTTGTACAATTGAAACAATGAGATGGGTGTCACGGGCAATGTGTTTGAAGCTCTACAATGAGAAGTGATGAAAAAAGAGGAGGGCCTTATTTTTACTAGAGATGCCTGTGAAGGTGGAAAAGAGCTCACTGCTTCCTTTGGTTTTGGCAAGGAGAAACAAAGCAAGGGCAAGAATAAATGATGCTGGAGACACAGAAGGCCGTTTCCCAAGTCCAGCACTTTAATGCATGGCGTGTAAAATTGTCCTTTGCCTCTCCTGTTCAGAGGCACTGCTGTCAAGATTCAAATTCCTTATTAATGTCCTCCAGAGGATCCATTGATTGCTTATGGATGTCACTGGGTGTTCTCTCTCCCTGTGGCTTTACACCATTGGATAGGTGATGACAGAATAATTAAGCTCTGAGTCAATCAGGTATTTGAACTTCCTGTTCAACTTCCCCAAGCCAGAAGACCAACAAGGTAGTGGTAAACAACCACAATGCAAGAAGTTACCAGTTACACTCTCAAGGCTGGCCTGTGCAAGCATTCAGCTCCCTGCACGCTTTTCCAGCTCTCATAGTCTCCCTCCCGAGTTCAAGATTTGTTTTCTCTACCCCTGACCCCTCCCTCTGCAAACTTCAGCAGTTGCTGTGGAGCAAAGAGGTTAACATTTGTGATGTCGTGACAACTGAATTTATGCAAGGGCGAACAGTGAACAAAGCCAACTTGAGCCAAGTCATTTGGGTTGAGGTGAAGACAGTGAAAACAAAAAGCAGACTTGTTTGGTAGTCCCTTATGAAGTGAGAAATACAGACCACAATCTACAAGGGATCAAGCAGCTGAGCAATAAGCAGCCAAGAAGGGAAGTGATGCATCCTCTGTTGTCTCTGCAAACAGACAGGGCATGGAATGCTAGCGTTTTGTCAGTACCCTTGCAAAGAGGCAAAAATTCAGAATGTATTTCCTACCTCTGTAGTGCAAGTGTCTTATCCTGTCCACTTGGTAAATCACTGCTTAGCTCTTGGGGATGAAACTGGAAAAACATCTAGTGATACTTTCTTATGATTTGCGCCAAAATCAAGGCTTATTGGCTGCTAGGACTACAAGAAGACACAACTCAGAAGTATGCGATGCCAATCTCCAATCTACCTTTCCTCCTTTGCATGTGCTGTTCTGTTGGGTAAAAAAGTTTAAATGGATGGAAACAACAGAGGCACCATAAGAAACTAAAGAAAACATGCAGATCCCCGGAAGTCTGCTTTGCAACTACAAAGGCTCTGATATTTCTATTTTAATTTTATAAACAGGCATGAAGGGAAAGGATGACTGTAGTCACTGAAGTCTATTACTAATAAAGTTTGAAGGTTATGTAGGATGTTTTAGCTAATCTCGGGTAGTCTGGTTGTCAAGGAGACTGCAGGAAGAGCTGAAACAAGAAGGGGTATCCTGAAGAGCAGAATGTCTGAAACAAACATGCGCTTTGTTTAGTTTGTTTACCATTAATCAAGGACTTTCTGTCAAGTAAGCAGGAACTACCTAAGGGAGAACTTCAAAGTGATTAAATGATAGTGTGAGCAACTGCCTGCGGAGCACTGGTAAGCCCTACCACGAAGGCATGAAAGTGGGAGGAAAGTAATTCTTGCAGGGGCAGATCATGACCACCGACTCACAGACCACCTATCCCAATAATACCCCGGACCCAAAAGAAGACGAGAATGAGTGTGGCCACTGTTTTACAAGCTAAGCGAGAAGACCTTAGCCAAGCACTGTGTAGAACAGTCATGCATACGGAGCAAGGGAGGAGGAATGCGTTACTGTTCTGTGTGGCAGTAGCCGATGATTTGTAACCAGGGGCTGTCAGCTCTGTGGATTGCCACACAGCACTTCTCTCTGTGCAGAAATGCAATAAGACGATGTCTCGACTCTGCGGATTGACTTGTTGCACACCCGGTGACGGATCCCGATTTTTTGGGACAACAAAGGCACGAAACTGGGCGGGGTGGGGGAAGGGGGGGCGGCAGT